AGATGTAGTATGCTGCTTGGAAAACTTTGGGTCATGTCATAGGTGGGTTTTTTAATTTATCTTAAAGTGTGAATGTAAATAGATTGTTACTATATTTGTGTAATGTGTGTGCGAGGTGATTCTTAGTCTGACAGAGAGTGCCTGTTTTCTTGCAGGTTATGTTGTCTGGGAAGGAGCTGACACTAAAGTGAAAAGAATAATTTAAAAATAAGGTTTTCACATGGTAGACTGAACCAGAAGCGGAAACTGGTATAGAGAAAGCATAAGAATAAGTAATTGGTAAAACTCTTAACAAAGCAATGATGTTTCACAAGTATCTTAATTTTTTTTGTAGCAGAATATATGAAGTAATTCATGACAATACCACATTGTCTTTTTAAAGCACCTTTCAACCAGTGTTCTCAGATACTTTAACAAGTTTACTCATAAATTTATCTCCTAATCCTGCTGTGAATTATGTTTCAGTTTTGGTTATCCTAAACTGCGCTGGCTTCATTCCCATCACAGAATCACAGAATGTCAGGGGTTGGAAGGGGCCTCAAAAGATCATCTGGTCCAACCCCGCTGCCAGAGCAGGACCACCTAGAGTAGGTCACATAGGAACATGTCCAGACGGGTTTTGAATGTCTCCAGAGAAGGAGACTCCACAACCTCTTTGGGCATCCTGTTCCAGTGCTCTGTCACCCTCACAGTGAAAAAGTTTTTCTTATGTTAATGTGGAACCTCGTATGCTCCAGCTTGCACCCGTTGCCCTTTGTCCTATCATTGGACATCACCGAGAAGAGCCTGGCTTCCCTTCCCTACCATTCCTGCAAGTGATGAGTCAGATTAAGGAACTGGTCCAGCTGAAAATTAACCAAATTTTGTTGTTGTTGTTATGATCAGTTTGCTGACCTGAGTGATGAGATAGGGACGCGACTGGAGACAAAGGCGCGCCTGTTTGCTTTTATTAGTTACCTTTTACAGCTTCGTTTCTTCCTGCTCCATTGCACCCCATCAGGATTTGTGGACTAGTGGTAGGACAGTTCTCCTAATACAGGGAAATACAGAAGTAGAATTAAATTAAATTAGAATTAGTAATAAATAAGAGTGACTTTTTTATTTTTTTGTGGTTTTGTTGCAGAAGGAGTATAGAAATGTCAATACTGTAAGCAATGCTTAGGCATGATAAAGGTTTTTAGGAAGTTATTTTAAATTTCAGTTATAAACATGCAAGTTTTCTGATGCATATGCTTGAGAAAATATGGTTGTGCCATGCCTACACATGGATTAGCGGGAAATAGATACAATTTGATGTCACCCTAAGAGTGGGGACACTTTTGTGTCTGTCATTGCACAGGCAGATTAGAGACAGTCACCACTCCCAAGAGTTGGCTTCTGAAGCTGATGAAAAGGGGTCAGAGCTGAACTGGAGGTGAAGTTGGACATCTGAATTGGGCTGGACTGTACTAGACATGGCAGGCCACAGCCCAAATGAATGTGGGAGAACAAACAGTCTTGTATGGGCAGTTACACAAGTGTCACGCATTTTGCATCGTATCTGATGCAGTTTGTGAGGGAATATTTGAACCTTTCACAATACTGCTCTACCAGTCTTTTAAAGTGGATTAAAATGTCAAACAATTATGTTCATTGATCACTGTACAGGGTGATTCTCTGCCGCATGAGGGAGAGATGCTGCTTTTGATTTTCTTGATGGTCTTGATCAATGGAGTAGGGCTGGAATAGCTTAGCAGGAGATGGAACGTTTGTGTCCATATGTGTTTGAAAAATTAATCTTTAAGTGCATGGCAGCCAGATCAGGACATTTTAAACCAGCATGCTTTCTTAGGTCTGGCAAAACCCAATGAAACTGTGAGGAGTCCAGGTTTACTTAATAGGGTCAGCACAACAACTTTTGGAACGAGGGATATTTGTGAAAAACATATGTAGCCTGTTGGTGTGGAAAACACCCCTCACTTCTAGTTGCTTATGTTTAAATGAAGAAAAATATGCAACTGTATTATGTGTTTTAGAAATTATGCTTCAAAATACAGACTCTGCGAAAGCATTGCAAAGTCAAGCTTTCCAAAGTCAGGGAATTTCAAAACATAGGTTTTCCAAACACATTTTCCCTTTCAGCATTGCTGCTTTTCCTCCAGCTCCATCTCCTTTTACTTTTTATATGAAACTGTCTGCTTCCTTCTCCTCCATCCTGGGCGCTGCTGTTGACATTATAGGTGCTCAAGTTTTCCAGCATCCAAGTGCTTTTTTTCGATGAGAGGAGGACTGGAGAGGAAAGCAGTGTTGTAGCGCTGGGGTCCCGCAGAGGCTGTGGCTGATGAAGGCTGACAGGCTGCACATGTGTGAAGGATGAGTGTTGGAGGTGTCTTGGCCAATACGGGTAGATTTCATGGCAGTGACAAAATGTTGAGGGCAACTTCACTTCCTTGAGAAGTTCTAAATACTGGCCCTAAAAGGTAGAGGGAGCTGGGACAGAGTGTTTTCCCCACACTCACTTCCTGAGAAAAATAAGCTCTAAAAAGAAATCAATCTTAGCTGCTAAGAAAAATGATGCTCTGAGAAAGAAGATCTGTATCTACAGTGGAGGATATTTTCTTTCTTTAACTTTGGCAAAGTGTTAATTTTGAGGGTGTGAGTGGCACACTGGAGGCAGGTAAGAGACTATCAGTCTCTTTGCCAGTCTGGAGGGAACTCCCCCCCCCCCGCCTTTTTAATAAGGAAAGTGTCTTACGAGATAGGAAGCGTGCATATGTTAAAAAAAAAAGACAAGACCCCACCACTTCACTGTTGCTAAAAGACCTTTCAATTGTTTCATATTTTTTTCTCCTTCTCAAGAGCAATCATTTTTGTAGGAGATGTACTGCTGTAGGATGTGTACTGCTTGTTGCTCTTCAGAATGGTCGGTATTTCACTGGAAAAGTCATAAGGAAAAAGGACACGATTAGAGGTTTTTGTCTTTTTATTTGTATATATTTTCCCAAATCTTTTACTGTGGGGATTTTTTTTTTAGTAAAGGAACAACTCTTCAGGTTGTAGTTAACCACAAGAATTAGGGTTGAAAGTCCGTGGTTTAAATTCTTCCTGAATCTTAAGTCATCATTCTAGTGGATTTCACTGTGTATTTGTAATCATAAATGGATGAGTTAAAAATACTAGGAGGAAGATGGCAGTTCTATTGCTGAGGTTACCGCAAGATCCTTGGCAGATGCCATCCCCATGTGATGCCTGTACAGAGACTGGCTAAAAAAGCCCCTCTAAAACTCTAATGAATTTAAGTTGGGATTCCTCAAAGGACTATCATCATGAAAATAAAAAATAGGAAATATTGCAGATTTAGTTGTCTTTTATCTACTATTTTTATTTAACTCTTTTATAGAGTAGTTAGGCACTCCAAAATGTTGGTGTTTTTTTAAAAAATGTTTTATTTGGATTCATTACATTTATTGCCCAGATTATTCTTAGCTATTTTTAAAAGGCTTTAAGCATGTCTCCTATGCATGTGTGTTAAAATTAAATTGGTGTACTGTTAGTGTATTTTTATTGTTGTAACAGGAAAAGCATTCTGACTTTTTTTTCAAATGAGCAATCATATGCATAATCAACTTGGTTAAAACTTCCTTCCTGGTAAGTGCAGCACTTCCTTTGCATCTGGATTTGAGGGCAAGCAAGAAAAGTAGAACGGCTTAAACAAAGAAATTTTTTGTGTGAATGGTCTTCCTTTAAAAAAAATAGGAACTTCAGAAATTAAGCAAATGAATCGTCTTCAGCAATTCAGCCTTTATTTCGTAAGCAGGTAATATTTCCTTGTGCTTTGTCAATTATAGAGGTGGTGTGTCTACAGTCGTTGCTTTCCGGAACTTGAAAACAGAATTTTAGTTAGCATGCTATGTTATTTCAGTTTAACCTTTCATATTTTTGTCTCTTGTTTTGTTATCTGCTAAGGCATCACTACATTGGTTTTGGTTTTTCCAGCAATTAAAGAAAGATTTTATGTGTAAAAAGCGTTGTCTGGAAAAGACGTTCTGTATGTTGCTGTAACGTAGCTTGTGTGAGCGCGCTCAGTCGGCACTGCCTTCCTCTTCCAAGCTTTCGGTGAATAATTTCCACTTTAATGTTGTTCAGTGGAGATTAACTAACTGTGAGCAACAGTACTGGTAGGCGACTCCTGTCTGGGCGTTTTAGGTGTATTTGATGTAAAGGGTAGTAAATTGACATCAGCTTAGGAGTTTTTTCTTCTGTAACAAACCAGCAGTTTATACTGGAAGTGTTTACTTTTAAAATGGATGGATGTTTTCATCCTCATGAATTGATTTATTTAAAAGAAGCATGTCTGAGGATACTAGGCTTAAATTCAGATGCACATTAGATATCTGTCTTCAGAAGTAGTCCCTGACTTTTGTATCCTAAGGGCTTTTTTTGGTGTAAGTCCTTACTCCTCATCCCTAAAAAGAGAGGCAGAGGAAAATGGGAGTAGGCTCACCTCTGTCCAGTCTGCAAATAAATTGCTTGTTTTGTTACTTTCTGTCATTCCTGGAGCTCAGCAGGACCGCTTCTGCTCCTACACAGTAGCGTGTCTTTTGATTTCTGTGAAAATCCACTTACATTAGTATCAACAGCATCAAAACAGACGAGGCAGCAGAAGAATCAGTGCTTGATCAAATAGAAGCATGAACAAATCCATATAGTCAGACTGCTTATCCTGAGTGAAATCTGGGAAGGCTGTTTAAAAGCTCTATTTTAATTATTTAATCATGGGGTGGTTGTTTATTTTCTGTATTTGGTTTTGAATTGAATAGAATATGACTGAGGTGGTTTATGTAAATCAAGTATATTTATGACCAGAAATTAAGGGGAAGGGGAAATACAAAAACTATATCCTTAGTAGGATTTTGACAGGCCTGTGTTTTCAATTAAGAAGAGTTAAAAAATAAGTGTAAAGAAAAATGCGAATGAGAAACTAATCAAGTATTTGTACGTTTTGCTAGATTTCTTCTGGCATGGAGTTGGGGGATTATGAACAGCCTGTTGTTATGAGAGAGGAAAACAAACGAAGGAGAAGAAGAATGAAACCTCATTGTACATCGAGTAATTTGTCATCAATGGAACTGATATCCATTGAGTTCATTTTACCTACAAGCAATAAACATACTAAAGTACCAGAAATTATATTACTTGAAATAGCTGGCAACTGTACAGTTGAACAAATGAAAGCACAGATTTGGATGCGTGCAATAGAGATGAGCCAAACCACAGATTTCTACCATGCGTTCACCCCGGATCAGTTTATTCTGCAGTATCAGAAGAAAGGGCAATGGTATGAAATTTATGATAAACATCAAGTATTACAGACATTGGACTGCATACTGTACTGGAAAGTGTTACAGAAAAAGATAGGCAAGATCTATGTTGTCCAGAAACAAAAACCATCAGAAGAAGTTCAGGAATTTCAGCGGCAGCTTAACGATTTAATTGGTTATGATGTCACTGATGTAAGCAATGTGCATGATGATGAGCTAGAATTTACCCGTCGCAGATTAGTCACTCCACGAATGATAGAGGTAGCCTGTAGAGATCCTAAATTGTATGCAATGCACCCATGGACTACTTCTAAGCCACTCCCAGAATATTTATTTAAAAAGATCACTAATAATAACATTTTCATAATCATACATAGAGGAACAACTAGCCAAAAAATTAAAGTGTCAATAGATGACACTCCAGATATGATTCTTCACAGCTTTTTCACAAAAATGGCAAAGAAAAAGTCTCTGATGGACATTCCTGAAGATCATAGTGAACTGGATTTTGTTCTCAGGATTTGTGGCAGAGATGAGTACATTACTGGAGAGACACCAATCAAAGATTTTCATTGGATAAGACAATGCCTTAAGAATGGGGAAGAAATCCACCTTGTCTTAGATAATCCCCCTGACCCAAATGAGGATGAGGTTCAGAAGGAAGAGTGGCCCTTGGTGGATGATTGTACAGGAGTTACAGGGTATCATGAACAATTGACAATAGATGGAAAAGATCATGAGAGAGTCTTCACTATCTCTTTGTGGGATTGTAATAGGAAATTTAGGGTGAAAATAATTGGCATTGATATCCCAATTTTACCAAGAAATACTGATCTTACCGTGTTTGTGGAGGCTAACATTCAACATGGGCAACAGCTCCTGTCACAGAGGAGGACTTCGTCGAAGCCTTTCACTGAGGAGGTTCTGTGGAATATTTGGTTGGAGTTTGATATCAAAATCAAGGATTTGCCTAAAGGAGCACTCCTGAATCTTCAGATATACTGCGGCAAAGCACAGGGGCTGTCCACAAAGACGAACCTTCAGTCGCATGAATCCCCCAACTCTGATTCAAAATGCAAAACTCAGCTTCTCTATTATGTAAATCTTTTGTTGATAGATCACCGTTTCCTGCTACGAAGTGGGGAATACGTGCTCCACATGTGGAAGATTCCAGGCAAGGGGGAAGAACAAGGAAGTATCAATGCAGACAAACTCACGTCAGCAACTAACCCAGATAAAGAAAACTCAATGGCTATTTCTATTGTGCTGGACAAATATTGTCACCCAATTGCCTTGCCCAAGCACAGGATAACATCAGACCCCCAAGGGGATAGGACACGAGCTGAAATGCCCAACCAGCTTCGCAAGCAACTTGAAGAGATCATAGCAACTGACCCACTTAATCCGCTTTCTCCTGAAGACAAAGAACTGTTGTGGCACTTTAGGTATGAAAGCATAAAGCACCCCAAGGCGTATCCTAAGCTGCTTAGCTCTGTGAAATGGGGTCAACAAGAAATAGTGGCCAAAACATACCAGTTGCTAGCTAAAAAGGAGGTTTGGGATCAAAGCACTTTAGATGTTGGACTCACAATGCAACTTCTGGACTGTAACTTTTCAGATGAAAATGTCCGAGCAATGGCAGTTCAAAAACTGGAAAGTTTAGAAGATGATGATGTTCTTCATTATCTTTTACAGCTTGTGCAGGTAAGGTGTATTTGCATTCTTGAACTCTGCCTTCCGGGAGTATTTGCATTGCCCCATCATCATTCCCATCTTAGCAGTCTAGTTAGTAATCCCTGTTTTGAAGTCTCCAGTGTATAGTCAAAGCAGTGGTAATAACCAAATTAACCCAAAACACACTTTCCACGTTGGCCTTTTGCCTATGTTGTTACTTTTGTGTTACCATTGCCTTGTGTCTTAAAATTTGCATCTTGCGTTTACAGTAGTATGTTTTTCTGGAAATTGTCAGCACTAGCACAGCTATGATGGGAGCAAATCCTACCTGTGATGTCTCTAATCCTGTTTGTATATGGTCTGAATCACACGGCGCTAAAGAATTGTTGACCAGCTTTACCAATAGTTTAGAAAGGGTATAGACAGAAAGAAAGTAAAGGCGGATGTTGACATGGGGAAGGCCGGAAGAAAAATCTGGGGTTGGGTTTCAGGTCAAGAATAGCAGTGTAGTTACATAGTGTGTGGCCATGACTTCAGTCTTGTACTGTTAACGGGACCAAATTTATTTAGAAGCTTCCAAAAAATCTTAAAAACTAAGTAAAGGGTTGCTAGGACTCCATAATAAGATTAATTCATTCTGGGAAGTTGGATGAAAAATTGTGTTTTTAGTGGCAATGAATCACTGCAGTATCAATTTGAAGTGCTTTGTGTGCGCATCTGCCAGGTGAAACGTCAGGAAGGTTTATATCAGTAATACAAGAAAATTGGTTTGTTTGCTTTTTCGCCTCACGGTGCCAGAGCTGGGCAGCCTGTCAGTGGCAAAATCACATCTGATGGCTGATGAAAAGTGTAACCCTGTGGTTCTTCCTCGTAGTCCCCTGAAGCAAGGCGACTCCGCAGGCTTCCCACAACCAACAGGGCTCCGGTTCTGCGGAGGGACTGTTGCCCCGCAGAGCAGGAAGTACTTTTTTCAAAGAATCCGAGGACAAAATTGGCATTCCAAATGAAAAAAAAAAAAGAAGAAAGAAAAAGGAACTGCTGCAGCCGAGGAAGCTGCGGGATGGGGCTTTTAATTTCTGTGAGTTCAGAGACAGTCCAGGTTCCCAGGAAAATGAAGGTAGTAGTTCAGATTTTGCTGCGCATCAGTAGTGCTTTAGACAAAGCCTTCTTAGCCTTGTCTTTGCTTGTCTGAAGATTAGGCTCCCCAGGCAGAATTTATGCACTTCTGCATTAACCAAAGGAGTCGCTACGGTTACCTCATTGGGCCTCCCACGTAGCTGCTGCTATATATATGCTTGGCTTGTGAGCTTTTGCTGTCTACATGTGGCTCTGCAATTTTATTTGCTTTTCTATCCAAATTAGAGGTTTGGGATGGTGATTGGTTGATATCAAAGTGCCTAAGAGAACAGGGGAAATACTGTTTTTTTGCCATTTGTTTTTTGAACTTATCTGTTTTCTGGAAGTACGAATCTAGAGAGTTTTAAAAAGAAGAAATCTCTCTAACAGTAAATTAAATTGCTGTAGTATAAAATCATAGTAGCTTAACTTCACTGTGTCATTTTTAGTGAGAGATGTAGTAAGAAATTAAAAGATTGCCATCCCCAAAAAGGAAAAAAAATACTAAATCCCAACTTTTACCTCTCTGCTGCATCCTTGTCTTCCTTTCTTGGCTAACAACAGAGCATAGGCCATCAACATCCTGCAGTAAAGTATTGGTACCACAGTGTATCTGAAAATCCACATTTTTCAGAGAATGGATGTCAGCCATTCCTGTGCTCTAATGTACACATCCGAGATGTCTCTTCTGCAAACGATCATCACTTTTCACATGCATGCCTTCATGAAAGCTTTATGGCTTATTTCACTCTGCACAGGATATTCCCATTTTACCTCCCAGTAGAGTTAGAAATCAAACAAACATTTTATTTCCCCCCAGGTTTATCCCAAATAGAAGCAGCCATGCCATAAATAAACCTATTGAGCTTCCTATAAAGGTCTGTTGTTCTGTATGCAGTTGATAAAACATGGATAGGATAGTTAAAATAAGACAAAATCCATTGTAAAACAAACACCAATGACTGTACTGCTTGTATATGGCAGTGAGTAAAGCTCTTCTGCTGAATTGACAAGGCAAAGGTACGTGCAGGGACCTGATGAAGTGCTAGCAGACGTTTTTTAATGGCTAGCTTTTATTGTTGCTATTCAAACACTGATATCTGACTTCACAAAGAAAAAAGAAAAATGGGATTGAATTTTTAAAATAATTATTTCTAAAACATAAGCATACTAAGGATGCCCATAATACATTTTTCTAACATTCTTTTATGTTAAAATATATTTGCAACCTTAATATAAAAAGGTTTTGCTTTGAAGCAATGGCTGGTTGTTTGGCTGTATTTTTCTAAAATTGTTTTTCAGGGGTAGGCACTGAGAACATTCAACAAAGTATATACCAAAATAAGGCTTTTAGTAGGCTTTCTCGGAACTGTAAGCAAATCTATTTGAATTTATGTAATAATTATTGCTTTTGGGTGCCTTATTATAGTGAAAATTATTTTTTATTAAAAAACACTCATACCTCATAATCTCATACACAAAGTAAAAGGATCTATATATTTTTAAATCAGTTCATGTTTGTGAATTCTCATTATCTTTCCTAAATAAGATGGTGTTGCTTGGGGAAATAGAACAGTATTGCAGAGACGGTCAAGACAGTTCTTGCAGAATTATGATACTGTAGAAGGGCAAGTCTTTGGTGCAAGTGCTTGGCTTTCTTGTCTGTCTCTTAGCCAGCAGCTGGAAAGAACAAGTCTTCGTAGCATTTTTATAAGTTGGTTCATCCTAGAAGGTTGACTGAAAAATCTCAATTTTTAATTTTTTTTTTCTGTTGATTAAACCCACAAGACAATTTACATTTCAGAAATAGTGTTGATATTTTAATAACAAAAGTACAACTGTGTGCTGCAGTACTTTTAAGAGTTTATAAAACCCTGTGATTTGTTCGATGGATTTAGTGGACCTCTGCTGATGGCTTGGTTGCTTCTTTGCAAGCTGCAGACCACAGTGATCTTGAAAGAGCCATTATATTCTGTTGAATAACTATCGCTAGAGGTTTGCATACTTTGTTGCTTTTGAAAGCTGAGCGTACTACATGCACCCAGCTCTCTGCACATCCCTTTGTTTTCCCTTAATCTTCCTATGTGCTGCTTCCTGGCGCTCTATTTCCAGAACCTGAAGCCATTCACCAACACCCTCAGTCCACGACAGGGATTTTGTGACTCTATTCCAGAGATTGGATGCTGCTTCTTTCTCTTTTCTTGCCATGGGATATACATGCATATCTTTTTTCTGCCATTAATCTAATACAAACCTCCTATAAACTTGGGTCCCTCCAGCAATGGGAAAGAAGCTGCTGGAAAAACCACTTGAAGTGGATCAGTTCCTTGGCACAGCCCAGTATCTGGAAGTGTGATAGTTTTCTGGTAGACAAAACTTGGTCTTTGGTTATTGGGATGGGGGGAGAGAATAACAGCAAAAAAATTCCAATCCCGACATTTTGAAAAAGTTGACCTGTTGTTTCCACCCTCTTTTGGAAGTAGCTTGGAAATATCCCTGGGCTTGGGTGGAGGAGAACAGCTGCTGGAAGAAAAAAAGTACATCTGTGCTCACAGAGTCATTAAAAAAAAAAGCTCTGGTGAAGTCTTCCTCTTACTTGTACTCTGTTGATATAGCATGTGTATCAGAGCCATTATTCTATTTTGTCATTCATTTAGGCTAAAGGCCAGACTAGGTGCTCCGAAAAGCTGCTCCTGTATCCTGTGCTTGCTGAGGAACCCAGCAGTGAACCCTGCTGCCCCAGTCCCAGAGTGGTGGATGTTATCAAAAAATAGGGCGTTATTATTGAAAGTTTTTATTAAAGAATGATTACAAATATGCCATTTCATTTGGCAATAATCTTTTCAAGGCTTCTCAGTGTCAGTCAGACTGCAGACTGTTTTCTGTCTTGCTGGACTTTGCTGAGAACAGCTTGAGAATGAAGTTGCTTTGTTCACATGCCTTCGTGTGCTGAGATCGGTCTCACTGGCCTGCATTGCTTTATTTGTCACATTACCAATATACCTGAAAAGAACCCATTGCAAAGAAAAAGTGATTCTTGAATCAAACACAGAGAACCTTGCTTTGTTTTTTTCAACTTTGTTTCCTCAAAAGAGCTTTGTCGTACTGTTTCTACTCCTGCAGCAGTGCGTTCTCTAGATGTAATCGGTAAAGTATAAGTGCAACGGGATCTTATATATGTTAATAACATGTCTTTATGTTTGTATTACTCAGGCTGTGAAATTTGAGCCGTATCATGACAGCGCATTAGCCAGATTTCTGCTAAAACGTGGTTTGAGAGTAAGTACTTAAAGATACAGCCAACTTATGCTAAAGTTACTGGCATTGTTAAAACCCTTTATCAAGAAATGTGTGCTGACTGCAGTATTTTTCTTTACCTCTAGAACAAAAGAATTGGTCACTTCTTGTTTTGGTTCTTAAGAAGCGAGATTGCCCAGTCTATGCATTACCAGCAGAGGTTTGCGGTCATCCTAGAAGCCTATCTTAGGGGCTGTGGAAAGGCAATGCTACACGATTTCATGAAGCAGGTTCAAGTAATTGAATTGCTGCATAAAGTCACAATGGAGATAAAATCAGTTTCTGCAGAAAAGTATGATGTCACTTCTCAAGGTATTTGCTAACAGGCATTTCTTCGTTTGTAATAATACTGGTTTTTCTCTTCGGGTGTGAAAATCTAGGCAGCAAATTGTACTATTTATTTAGAAAATTCATGGATAAATTAACGTCAAAAGGCATCATTATTACTTCTTTTAAAATGCCAGTGCAAGTTAATAGTGATAGAACTAACAGCACAATTGTTTGCTCATTCCACCCCAAAAGGGGAAGAATACCAATGTTACAGACACCCAGTACTTTCCCATGCTTTGGCTTATCTTCTTGAACCTCACACCATGCAACTGGGAAACAGCAGGTACCTTCTTGTGCGTAACCCTTAGCTGAATGACAGCACTGAAGAAAGGAACAACCCAGGACACAAGTACTAACTGGAAATAAAGGGAAAAGTGGCACTTGCCAAGAAACACAGCTATACCCTAGGCAGTCACTAAAAGATTCTTGGCAAGAAGACCAGGGAGGGGTCCGGTACAGCCTCTGCCATGCCATGGAAGTTACTGGTGGATCACCAGTGAATATAAAGAGCACATCTTTGGGGACTTGCAATGTGCTGAATAGGAGTCTTGTGAGAGACAGATGTGGTGTTACTATTTCTGGTACTTGTAAGCACTGCTTTGGAAGCCACAGTAGGGTTCTGCAATGCCTGTTTACTTCTGGGTTTTCCCTGTCTTTTCCCCAGCCCCCAACTTCCTTAAAAGCTTGTTTGTCATCATTCCTCGTTGCGTGGTGTTGGGTGTAAGTATGAGAAGACGTATAACAATATTCGAACTCTAAAGCTGTAGAGAGACCAGCTTTTCCTGCACGCTCAGCCTGGTATGATCCAGGCCAGAAAGTCCTTGGTTCAGAAAGCCTTTCCACTCTGGTTATGCAGAAGGAATTTGAAAGAAATATGCATTTAGTCTCCAATATATAATGTAATGTCAGTTACTGTACCACGTAGTGTGAGTTAGGGAACTTATTGAACCCTCATACAAAATATTCATTCTAAACAACTTTCTAAAATTTGTCTTAAAATGCTCAATAATCTAAATATATTTGGTCAGAATTCCATGTTTTGGAAGGAAACTTTACAGCCTTGCAGATGTACATATCTGTAACAGCAGTGGTTTCCATGATACGTTATCTTTGAAGGATATGTGGGCAAAGAAGAAAAGTTTCAAGAAAAAGCAATCACATTAACACCCACCAGGTTTTGAAGTTAAAGAATCTTCGTATGTAATGTGGAGCAGAACATCGAAAGATGACTTATGTAATTGACATTTTCACTGAATAAGACTTCCTGAAACTGTGGAGTGTCCTACTAATGCTATATCTTATTTAATTTATTCTGAGATTGAGTAGGGTATGATTTTTCCTACAGGCACCCTCTACTTCTTGTATTTTTAAAAATGTATATCCTAAAATTTCTTCTTTAGTTTATTACTTCTTTTTTTGGCCCATCATTTCTAATGTTCATAGTTGTTTGTCTTTTCAGTCTGAATGTTTTGGTCTGTTTAATTTCAATCTGTCTGCAGCCTCATCTAATTCTTGTATGTATTTTCTTCCTCCAGTATTTGTGGATTTTTTTAAAGAATACAGTCCTTCCTGTTAGGTACATACTAATCCAGTAGCAGTCATAATGTCTTAACTCTTTCTTTCAGTTTTCATGTAAACTCTTTGCTTATATTTGAACACAAAGAGTAATAATAGATAAATAAATTTTTAAGATCATAATATTACAGCTTGCATAGGATTATCTGCTTTCATCACCTCTCTATTAGATGATTTGTCTCCCAAGAATGTGTCTATGCAGCTGCTTCTTCTCTTAAAACGTACAGCACTTTGTTCTTAAGCCAAATCAAGTTGAAATTGTTTTAGCAAGCGCCTTCCCTTGCGTTTTAAAATCAGCTAATTCCTAATCTTTACTAGCTTCAATTGGTTGGCATACAATTTTCAAATTACATTGCATGGCAATGAGGAGACTTACTGAAATCAAGCTAGATTTGTCTAGGAAATCAGTAGTTACATTTTAGAAAGCTGTTCTGTGACCCAGGTTACTGCAGCCTGGGAGTTTTTTGGTTTGGTTTTGTTTTGGGTTTTTTTTGAAAAGTGTCCAATTATAAACTCCACTTATTAGCTCCTGTATCTTGCTGTCAGATTTATTTATTTTTTACCAGAGGAGATACCACATTGGTTACCTGTCACCACTAGCTAGTTCTTTTCGAAAAGCCCTTAGGATAAGCATAACATTTGTGTTGTGTGAGTTCCTGACTTTCTTAATTTGATAGCAACTTTTGAAATATCTTCATTTTGATGGACATGACCTGGCAATGTGCACTGGCAGCCCAGAAAGCCAACCATATCCTGGGCTGCTTCAAAAGCAGCGTGGCCAGCAGGTCGAGGGAGGTGATTCTCCCCCTCTACTCTGCTCTGGTGAAACCTCACCTGCAGTGCTGTGTCCAGCTCTGGTGCCCCCAGCACAAGAAGGACATGCACCTGCTCAAGCAGGTCCAGAGGAGGCCACAAAGATAATCAGGGCGCTGGAGCACCTCCCCTGTGAGGACAGGCTGAGAGAGTTGGGGTTGTTCAGCCTGGAGAAGGGAAGGCTCCAGGAGACCTTATAGCGGCCTTCCAGTACTTAAAGGGGGCCTGCAGGAAAGGTGGGGGCAATCTTTTTAGCAGGGCCTGTTGTGATGGGACAAGGGGTAATGGTTTTAAACTAAAAGAGGGCAGATTCAGACTAGATACGAGGAAGAAATTTTGTACACTGAGGGTGATAAAACACTGGCACAGGCTGCCCAGAGAGGTGGTAGAAGCCCCATCCCTGGAAGCATTCAAGGTCAGGTTGGACGGGGCTCTGAGCAACCTGATCTAGCTGAAGATGTCCCAGCTCACTGCCGGGGCTTGGGCTAGATGACCTTTAAATGTCCCTTCCAACCCAAACTATTCTATGACTGTGATTTTATGATTTTGTGTATTAAATATCCAGGTCCATTTCTAGCTTTCTCATAACAATTTTTTTTTTTTCTCTTTAATTTTTGTCTCCAGAATTATGTGAACACGTATATGGAGCTGCAAAGCTGCAATTTGTTTTAAAACAGTGTTCAGGTGTTTGTCCTAACAGGGTGTAATACCCAGTGTATTGCTTATGCTGCTAACATGTGCTAGCTGAGATGAACAAGTGCGTCATATGTAGTATAATGCATGCTGTTCTAAGCTGAAGATTCAGAAGCTTGAGGTTTTATGAATTAAAAGATTCAGTATGAACATTAAAATTCTTGTTTGTGTAAATAGACAGCAAATTTTCTTCTTACTGGAATGTGAGATTACAAGGCTGCACTATGAAACCAGTTTTAGGAGGATAGGAAATTCTGTGTCTCTGTAGTTGGAGTCCTTATGGTTTTGGTATAACCGACTCCAAGAATTCAAAAGCCATGAGTCTGTCTGCAAGAGCAATGAGGTAGGTCAGAATAATACCAGAAAACACAAGGTGCTTTTAAATGCCTCCTCCTTCTGAGCCTTTGGGGTAGATTGTTCAACATTTCCTTGGCAGTGATAAGGGCAAAATATTTTTTGGTGTGTTGTGCAAGTTTGATTACTTTTTTGCCCTCCAACTTAAGATTTCATTGTGTTTTCTTACTTGTAATTGCAGTTATTGCACAGCTGAGACAAAAGCTTGAAAAACTACAGAGCAGCAAACTTCCAGAAAGTTTTAGAGTTCCCTACGATCCTGGGCTAAGAGCAGGAGCCCTAGTGGTGAGTGTTATCTGAGTTTCTACAGATCCTTTCTGAAAAAAATAGCCCGTTTGCAGGTATGTGTCATTTGGTAACAATTTTCACTAGCATGTCTAAAGGTCTTATTTCACTGTAAGTATGATGGCATTTCAGTAAGTTTTGTTCCCAAAGCTATTAGCATTTTTCTAAATGTAACGACATGCCACTATGCCACTAAAAAAATGCAACAACCCATAAAATTGTAGTCATTAAATGGCAATTATGATTTTTCCATTAGTTTAATCCATGATTTGACCAGGCAACTGACTCTTTTTTACATCAAATACCTGTGTAAAACTGTTTTATCTGACTTCAGGGGCTTTGGGGTATTCAGTTTACTGTTCCTCCAGTTGCTCTCCCTGTCTTACCCTGATTCATATCTGTCATTAAAGTTTGGGTCTCCAGACCTTCACCTTACTAATAAAAACATCTGCCTTAGCTGTTTCTGATTTTTCAATAGGTGTATGTTGCTTTTGTTGTTTTTATTAGAAAACGCATTAAGATTTTGTTAGAAATACGTTAACAGACGCTTGGGTTTTTCTGTGTTGCTGCCTCCAGTTTTGTGGTGAGACTGCAGAGGCTAATGTCAACTCAGAGTTAAAAACAAGATGAAGAAATCAGCAAATGTGTAGTGAAAGGGAATTGGTTCATCCGTCTACTATGCAGTGTGAGGTTTGGGTAAAGCACAGTGAATATCCTTGGATTCACTAGATGTGCCACAAGGAGCCTACAAGAAAAGAACCCCTTGATTTTTCTCTTGGCTAAGGACAGAGGAACCATCCAACCTAAGGAATTGCTGAATAGTAGGGTGCTTATTTGGTATTCATTGTCTAGCTCTGGCAATGTTTCTGTTAAATAAACCTGTGCCTTGATAGATGGGCTATAAGCTAATCAGGTGAGAGAGTGAACACTTTCCGATTGGACATGGCTGAGGTACTGTCAGTACAGAAGTCAATTCAAACATTGTTTACTCAGAAATACAGAATTTTTGGCTTCTTAACTATTATTTTCTTGATTGTATTTCTCCCTTTAGTCTTTTGTGTACAAAAATCACCAACTGCATGATAAAAAGTGAATTTCAAAATAAAATTAAAAAATCTTTCTGGACTTTCTAGCTTTCCTTCACTTAGGAAGTATGCAGCCCTACCAGGACCCTCCTAGGTGAAGGAAACCATAGATTTACAAGGGAAGGTAGCTATATCCAAAAATAGATGGGTTAGATCCTTTTTTTTTTTTTTTTTCCAAACTGTATGAAAAAAATGTAGCAAACTGTATTAGTAAGTTTTCATTTAATCTTCATTCTAGGAAGGGCTACTTGTCCATGATCTTCAAACCCTGAAATTTAGCTAGTCTAAACTAAATAGTAGAAGTAAAATCAGTGTTTCTAGTAAGTTCAGAGATCGAATAACTTCTTTCCTTTTTAAAAATAAGGATGGTAAAACCTGCTTTGTTTTAAACTACAAGCACAGAACCTCAGTCTATGGAACATGAATATTCCAAGATACTCTTCCCTGATGTCACCTCTCAAACACTAATGTGCAATAGCTTTTATTATTTTAGATGGCTTTATTGTACATAGTAATGTTCAACAATGTACCAGGAATTCCGGAATAGAAAGTATTACATACTACAGTTGTATTAGACATAATTAGTTGAGAAAACATTGGAAATAATGCAATTTCAGTAATTTCAGTACTGAATTTCTCAAGGTTAAAAATATAATAAAACTAAATAGGGAATTTATTTTCTTATTTTATGAATGATGATGTTAAATTAGTTTAACAAATTCCGTTTTCCCCATGAATTTGAATGATTTGCTAAGGGAATTGAATCAAGCAATCTGGAATAACTGAAGTTGCTACAAGTCACAAGGGTGGATGATGTGGTAAATTGCATTGGACAATGATTATGTTCCCATTTTGCAGAGCACCTGTGTCCACTCTCCAGGCTAAAGAGCCCCAGGTCTCTCAGCCTTTCCTCCCCTTTCTCTTCTCCAGTCCCCTCATCGTCTTTGTATCCCTCTGCTGGACTCTCTCCAGTAGTTCCCTGTCCCTCTTGAACTGAGGGGCCCAGATGTCCACAGTACTCTAGATGCGGCCTCTAAGAATCTCTTATTCCTGGTTTTAAAAGGTGGGGGTTTTTTTCTGTCTGAAGGAGATTTGCAAGCTAAATCCAGTTTCAGAGAGTCAAGGAATGCTTTTTCCTTTATCATGGACAGTGTTAAAAGTTGTGCAGGTTCAGTGAGACTGCATGTGGCAATTGAATACCATTCCTTACATGTGCTTTCAGTGTGTTTCGTGTGGTATAACTGATTGGAAATTGGTAAACTACTCTGTAGCTGGTGTGTAAAAGCATTAGTTGTGTTGATGTTGGAGTACAATGGCTAGCAATAAATGTGTCTTTCACAGATAGAAAAATGTAAAGTAATGGCATCTAAGAAGAAGCCCCTCTGGCTTGAGTTTAAATGTGCAGATCCAACAGCTCTATCAAATGAAACCATAGGCATAATCTTCAAACATGGAGATGACCTCCGTCAGGACATGCTTATTTTACAGGTATGATAGCTGAAATGTATAAAACGAATAACGTGAATATTTTAAAATGGTTTAAAATGGTTTTACTTTTCAGACGTATATATACCTGATCTTTACTGTCTATATGAAATGTGAGGTTGTCTTTTGTTTTTTAAAATGTGTATCACAAGGCTGACATCAAAACTGGATATTCTTTCTTGTACTAGAGTTTTCTATGTTACTGCGTTGTGAGTTAACCCTGGTGGGATGGGGAAAGAGGAAAGGAAGATTAAAAGCAAGAAATCTTCTGGGTTGAGACAAAATTTATTTAATAAGCAAAGGAGAAGTGGAAGAAGAGAGAAAGAAAACAAAACAAGTGATACAAAGGTAGTCACTCACCACATCCCGTGGGTAGACCAATGCCCAGCCAGTTCCTGCGCAAAAGATGGTTAACCTGCCTAACCCCCTTCCTCTCTATTTTATTGCTGAGCCTGGCATTACTCAGCATGGAATATTTCTTTGGTTGGTTCGGGTCATCTGCCTCATTGTGCCCCCTCCAAACCTCTTGTGCACCCCCAATCTATTCACAGTGGGGCAGAGCGAGAAACAGAGGCAGCCTTGGTGCTCTGCAAATACTGTTCAGCAACATCAGCGTGTTACCAGCATTGCTTTGGTCACCACCCTAAACCACAGCACCGTACGAGCTGCTCTGAAGAAAACTAACTTCATCCAAGCCAGACCCAGTACATACTGTTACCCTGGTTTCTCCTGCCGTATGCAATTGTCCTGGTTTCAGCTGGGATAGTGTTAATTTTCTTCCTAGTAGCTGGCACAGTGCTTTTGGATTTAGTGTGAGAATAATGTTGGTAACACACTGATGTTTTAAGTTATTGCTACTTAGTGCTTACCCTAAGTCAAGGATTTTTCAGTTTCCCATGCTGTGCCAGCAAGGAGGGCCACAAGAAGCTGGGAGGAAGCATGGCCAGGACAGCTGACCCGAACTAGCCAGAGGGATATTCCATACCATAGGACGTCATGCTCAGTGTATAAACTGGGGGGAGCTGGCTGAGGGGGGGAGCAGATCGCTGCTCAGGCATCTGTCAGCAGGTGGTGAGCAACTGCATTGTGCATCCCTTGTCTTTTCTTGGGTTTTCATTCTCTCTCTTTTTGTTATATTCTTTTTCATTACTATTATTACTATTATGATTAGTTTAGTTTAGTTACTAAACTGTTCTTATCTCAACCGGTGAGTTTTACTTTCTTTCCTGATTCTCCTCCCCATCCCACTGGGAGCAGGGAGGAGTGAGCGAGTGGTTCTGTGGTGCTTAGTTGCTGGATGGTGTTAAACCGCGACAGCCATATATACTTCATGTTTTGGTGTTCTGGAGAAGGAATCCTATTTAGTGCAAGGTGGCCTGTTTTTCTGATGAAGCATTTTTATCATTTATTTGTGCAATGGATGAAGTTACAAATAAGAATGAAATCGGAGGTAGCATTACTCTATTAATATTTCAGTGATTGTTCTGACAAACTTGCTTGCTAGCACTTTTGGGGCTATTTATGGGAAAAAATGGATGTACATGCTAATGTGGTTAATCTCGGCTCATGTAGAAATCATGCAATATAATTATTAAAACTTTATAGAACAGTAGAGGTTGCCTGGTTCTGTAGCTGATAATCTTGAATGGCTGCACACTTTCTGTATTTATCTTTTAATCGGTAAGTAAATAAACAGGTAAGTTTAGGCCCATCTCAGAAGACTGGGTAGTGTTATTCGTGTGAGTAATAAGTAATGTCCAAATAATTTGAAATAACTTAGCATATATGCTTGTTTTTACTAGATTCTTCGAATTATGGAATCCATTTGGGAAGCAGAATCCTTGGACCTCTGTTTGTTACCGTATGGTTGTATTTCTACAGGGAACAAAATTGGTATGTGATCACACTTAGTGTGATTAGAAATTCAAAATACCATAGTTACAGAAGTTGCATATAGGAGAACTATTCTAGTGTGCACTGTGGTCCTGAGATAAATAGCAATTTAGTACGCTTCCTGCGAGCAGCCTTCAGGTCCGTCTCAGCAATGGGTGCTGCCCTTCTGGTGGGTGTCCTTCAGCTGCTGCGCTAGCTTAGCTGTGATTCCTGTGCAAGTCCAGCTGTGTGGGTCCTGCTGCAAGTTTCTCTTTAATAACAGTATTTGGTATGAAAAAGTGGTAAAAGTGAGTGAATTATTCAAGATGTGTTTTAATATGTTGATAAGAATAAAATAGAGAAAAGAATTAAAATGGCAAAACATTTATGTTTTTTTCCTGACCTAAAGGTTTGTACCCAATACTACATAGAAGCAACAGCATTACTCAACAGGATGCTCAGGCAGTATTTCTCAGTGGGCATTAGTTCCTGCAGCACAGATGTTCTATTTTCCAGAGTTCATGGTGGGAGAAATAAAGTGGTTGCTTACAAAGCTTCTGACGAACTGTGTGATGGTGTGTAGAGCCGTCTGATCAGCTCTGGAAGAGTCCAATTACATCCAGAAATGCCAAACTGATGTATAATTTACGCATCCTGATGGCTCCAAACTGACTCTGTGGTTGGATTTGCATATATTATTTACCCTAGCACATCCACATTGCACGGTTTTCTAGTATCCAGATAATACAGAATTGACTGTAGAGTCAATTTTGCTGAGCAGTTTTTGAATGATTGGCTGGAGGAAAGCCTCCTCGGTGTAGAAATATTGGCCATGCCCAAATGAAGCTGTTGTGCTGAAAAAAATGCTTTGGCTGATATGAACAGTGCGTCAGTGAGACGGATCAGCAAGTACAGCTCTGCCATTTACTTAAAGCTTGAGCATGTGTAAAAATCATCAAGTTTGTTAATTCCCATCATCGGTGTAGCTGGCAGTATGATAGTAACTGCACAGATTGACAAAATAATAATATAAATATTGCTGTGTGTCTGCCATGATCTCCAGCTTTTTAGTTCTTTTCTTTTTCAGCAATATATTTTGCTTTATGGATCAAAGAATAATGAGCTGAGTCCCAGTAAAATTAAGAACTCTTTTTAATACATATCTATAATGTACTTCCTCTCAAAAATCCATTGCTATATAAAATTTTTATTGTCCTTTCTTTTGACTGCAAGATATCTCAGCAATGCAGAAAACCCAAACCCACTGATAAAATACTTGGTAGTGTGACACAAAAGGGTTTCCTTTCTCATAAGTGTTTTAGAATTAAATAAATTGTGATGATAGAATTCTAATAATAAAGGAAAAGGAATATTATGTATCAAAATACTAACTAACTGTAAATATAAAAGTTGTTTTTTCTCCTCTCCTTTAGGTATGTTATAACCTAATTTTTTAGAGAGATTTTTAGGATTTAATTTAATTTTGTTTAAAAACGTCCTAAGACAATGTAATGTATTGAAATAATGGAGGAAGGTGGAGGAATTTTGCCAGTGATCCTAGCATTCTTACATTCAAGTTACAGACTTCATTATTCTTTCATGAATTCTGCATTGACTCTCCATTCTTTTATCTCAAGGAAATAATTGTTTATTTTACTATACACATAGAGGAGATGTAAACACCACAGTAGGGGCATGGTTAATCACATAAAGACTCCTGTTCAGTTTACTGAGAATACCTACAGGCTAAATTAGTAATACCCAATGTGGGACGCTTTGATGTAGAGCTTATGCTTGTTTGGAACAAAGCCAAAGAGTAGTGGCATGCAAATGTTCTTTCACAATATTCATATGTGATCTTCTTCCAAGCCTCTACTTCCCTCCCTCTTAATATTTCCATGGAACTTGGAGCAGTTTCTGTGTATTGACACAAGGACAGTGCCCCGTTCTACACTGAGCACAGGCAAACAGCGAGGTGTGTCTTACCCCTGGGGCTGGCATCCCCTCCTGTGTAGGGCTTTCTCATTCTGTTGAAGACGTCTGCATTTAGTGCAGTTTGCAATTTTGGAAACATCCATCCGCTCCGCTGCTGCTGCCAAATAGACCTCTGTCGGAGGAACTTTCTCTTCTGTGTATCACTGGTAGAAGTGATACTCCCTTTGACACGGCCATATGTTCCTGGCTCTGCGAGGCAATTATCACTACTTACTATGCTGCCTTGCTGCCAAATTTAAGAAGTTCAAGCTGGCACTTAGTATTAAGAGTCACTTGCTTTAGTACCGCAGATCCCCAGAAACACATAGCATAGTGCATTTACTGCTGCAGTTCTCCCAGTTGAATACAGCCCAGCTGAGATCCTCTATCCCAGTTACTGAAGCCTTCTCCAGGGCTAACCCTACCTACCGAGAGGCACGTCTGTATTTAGAAGGGTTTGCCAGTAGAACTATACTGTTCCAGCAGATAACTTTTTTTACCGTGATACCTTTAAAGTATTTACTTGGACAGAACAAGCCGCACAACATTCTGAATAGGTTTTATACCACTCTTTTGGCAGTACAGTGGAGAATGATCAGCAGAGAGTTTTCATTAGCAGCTGCTTTAAAATCTGGCGACTTTTCACACTGCTAATCAACATAGCTATGCTGGGAGTAGTTCTAAATGCAAGGGGAAGCAGAAGATGCTTCCTGCAACAGCTCTGCTCCCCTGGAATCAAGAAGCTGTTGGCCGGTAGAGGGAGATTTGTGAGCACAGGCAAGGGAAGCCTTTTCGACAGCTGGAATGTGATCTGGAGCTCCCTCTCAGGAGGAAGACAACAGCTTGACAAGCACAGACCAAAATGCAGAGCTTTTTAATTTGGTGGTGGTGGCGGTGGGTTTTGGAGGTCATAGTTGCACTGTAGTTTCATTACAAACAAATCCAGGCTGCTGTCAAGACAGAAGAAATACCTCCAGGGGGTGTTCAGCCATGAATTCAACTATGCATGGAAGACAGGGGCAGGAAGAGATTACTGCATTGTTACTCTGTTACAGAAAAATTTGCACATAATTCAGAAATTGCAAAACGGTAGGACTGTGAATAGATAGAAACTCATCCATTTCAGAGAGAGAGTCAAACTGAAACTGAATCAGAAACTGCTTTGAATCGCTTTGGGGAGAAAGGGATATTTTTACTTGCTTGTTTGTCTTTGAGCTGGAGCTGAAGCCAGGCTTTTACTTAGAAGACACTGTTGAACTTGAACCAGAGGAAGAAAATACAGTATTTCCAGTTACCAAATAAGTTCAACTAAAATCTGACCTTCCCCCATACAGGCATGCCCAGTACGAGGGCAGACTGCATTTGCTAGTCTTGGCTACAGTGCAGAGCTGTGTTGCAGCCTCTGTTTCTGCTTTTCTCTCTAGCTTCCCCTTCGTCACATGCCATCTCGATATGAACAGTACAAGTGATGTGCTGATTTGCCTTTGTGAGGATCTATTCAGTTTAGGGACCGACCTCTGGGCCCTGGCAGCCAGAGCTTTCCACCAGCAATCCCACTGCTGTACCTCACTGTGTACTGCTGTTTCTGAACCTCTCTGTGCATATGCACACTTGAGTTTAAACTGGATTAACTGCAGGAGGGCCAGCTCTTCCTCCGCCACAGCTCTGGCAACAGTTGCATCCCTAGGCTGCTGCAATGCTGCAGCTTCTCTTCAGCTCCTCAAATTTGTGAAGCTGGAGAGAAGCTGGTGGGAATGTGAACAGTACCTGGGGGGTATCAGGTACAGGTAGTACCAGGGGATCAGGATAGGTAGTTCCTTTCCTTGGGAAAAACCTTACACAGAGGGTCCCACTCATTGTGTGATTCTTTCCATTTTAAAAGGTTTTACATTCTCATGGAGGAGTTCAGGATGCCAGGCTAGTTACGAGCTCTGGCTGGTTTCAGCTGGGAATGAACAAGAGCCACTGTTGCTTGTAAACTAAGTTTCTGCTTACAACCTATGAAGCTCTGCAGTTGATTAAATTTAAAACTGTGGGTTTTAAATTTTGCATATTTTTATTATGCTTTGATATAAACTTAATAACTTGTTCTAACTTCTTCCTTGTTTTCTCTAGGAATGATCGAAATTGTGAAAGATGCTACAACAATTGCCAAAATTCAGCAGAGTACAGTTGGCAACACTGGTGCATTTAAGGATGAAATACTAAACCAGTGGCTCAAGGAAAGATGCATGATTGAAGAGAAGGTGAGTTCCTTGAATTTTTAAGTAGGATTTTCAAATGCACCTTACTAATTTAGGAGCACAGAGGCCATACTGTTAGCGTTACTTAGTGGATTTTGAAAAATCCATTCATTTGCCCTACACTCAGCCGTGGGTGTCTGTGGAAGAGCCTTTTGCATCCAGCTGGCGGCCGAGCTCCTGAGAAACAAGACACTTTAGAAATGCCTCCTATGTCAGTGGTATTTAGAAGTGATACATGAGGAGCAGATTGAAAGGACACCTAAGAACAGTGGAAGGCAATGTGGTTTTAGAGGATTTAAATACAGGTTTGGGTACTCACCACTCCTTTGCTTAGGTAGGTCCACTGACCTACTAGAGCCTTCTGCCAGCTTTTTTTCTCAGAAAGCATAGTCAGCTATACGCTTATTTTATTTGTGCTAAGGGATAGACCTGCTCACACGGTACAGCAAGCGCAGTGCAGGGCTGTGATCTCAGTCCTTGCTGTGCAACGGTGAATTTTATAATAGCTGTTGTATTATTATCATTCTAACTGTTGATAAATACATGTCAACAGGCAGGTGACTTTGACTGAATTTAGTTTCTAGCATGGAAGCATTTAACTAAGATTTATTTTTAGTTTCAGGCAGCTGTGGAAAGATTTGTTTATTCTTGTGCTGGATACTGTGTGGCAACTTTTGTACTTGGAATAGGAGACAGGCACAATGACAACATTATGATTACAGAATCAGGTGAGTTATTTTTTGAGAATTTCGTAGAAGAACTGGGGGCTGTCTATACTTCCGTAGATTTGTGTTCCATTTTAATAAATAATGCATTTAACAGTGAATGAAGAGACACAATCCAGTTCTGTCAGCATTGCTTACAAGTTCAGGTCCTTCTGTGACATTGAAATGTATTGTCATCCCTTTTGGCCTTCATAGAGGCTCTAGATATTTATCATTCATAATGCCATTCTTTTCCAAGGACGAGTTTGTTGCGAACTAAGTCATAAGGAAAGTAAAACTAGGGTTTTTTTAGTGTCTAGATCCAAGACCTAAAAGCCAAAACACTTTAAAAAGCAAACAGCTTCTCACCTGTCTGAAGTGTGGATGTGGTTCTGACAGTGTTCAGCGGAACTGTATCTGTGTCAGAATTCAGATCTTACTGGGCTATTTTCACTTCTGAGGAACATAATGTAGAAAATCCTAGAAAATAAGTGTACATGGAATGTGTTTGGTTTGCTAATGAAATCTGTGGGATGGTTGCAGTCCTCCTGAAAGAACCGCCCTTTTTTTGCATTACAAACTTTGGGAATTATTTCTGTAGCTGTTCATTGGTTCATCCCTGATTTTGTTTACCTATGGAAGCCCCAGAAGGGACCCCAGAAAGAGCAGTACATATGGAGGAGTTTTATTTGGTCTAAGAAATTCACTTCCAGTTTCGTGATCCTCTTGCTTCATAATTGGTCTTTACATAATGCTAAGAGACAGAAAATACTTTTGGGCTTTGTTAGAAGGCTGTATATTTAATATTAATAATATTACAGTTAAAGTTTTACCAGTTGAACGCTGGAGAGAAGTAGTACCCTGAAGGCAGAAATGAGCTAATTGAAGACTACAGTAAAAAAAGTTCACCAGAAGTCCTTGAGGAAAAGAAGACAAAGAAATACTTTAGTTTCAACATTATATATAATAAAATGCAATGTTAGTACCCATTGGCAGAATATGAGGGAGAGGTCAGTAGAAAGGGAGATAGAGAAAGAAAGGTTATTCCGTACTGGTCAGGAGCAGGTTTGCTGTAGTCTTTAACAGGAGCTGTCCTGAGCAACAGAAGCCAGAAGGGTTTCAGTCTGAGAGGTCTGCAGAGTGTCGCATTTGGTAGGTTGGGAGGATTCAGAAACTGGCCAAAATGCTGGAACATCAACGAATGTTCCACCTGTGGATCACTGTTGAGTATCATCTTACATCATTTGATGTTTCATCTTTTTATATACGTGTATCACTATCACAAGTCTGGTTTTAAGTAAGCATGCTCTTTTGTCCTTACATCTTGCCTGCCAGTGAAAGTAATAAAGTGATCTGAAGAGCAGCAGCACACTCGAGTCCTGTTGGTATAGCGATCCTTAAGAGGGGAGTTTTTCATCCCTTTCCTGGGAACTGATACCCTACTACAACCTCAAAATTATCCAAAGGGTGACAATGCAAACTTATTCTGCACAGTACAGGGTGGTTTAGAAATTGGTGATGCAGGTCTGTGAGGAAGAAGCATGTTCTAGTGAATGGCATTAGCCGGGGAGCTGGATAGCGCCAGAATCCCGTGGGTATTTGAAATATAATCCACAAGCCTTTTCCATGTAGTGATGTGCCGGGAGCTGATTGTTAATGGATCTGAGGCACAAGCTTTCCTTGGCTGATTTTTGAAAAGCTGTGAGTGTACGTTTAGAAAATACAGCAGTTCTGCCAGGTTTTTAACAACTGCCAAAGACATAAAAAGTAACTTTGCTAAGAGGACAGAATTATATGTTTAAAAAAAAAAAAGAAAAGAAAATAGTCTTTTCTGCTGAACTAAACAGTGATCATATATACCCCAAGAAAGAGGTTTTGGAATTATTGTCAATACAAGTAAGTGTTCTTGGCAGTTTATTGTATTTGAGCCTAACTGTGACTTCTTCTTCTCTTTATGAAGGTAACCTTTTCCATATTGATTTTGGCCATATTCTTGGGAATTATAAAAGCTTCCTTGGAATTAATAAGGAAAGAGTTCCTTTTGTGCTGACTCCAGATTTTCTGTTTGTCATGGGGACTTCCGGAAAGAAGACAAGTCTCCATTTCCATAAATTTCAGGTAAAGAGTGAATATCTAGCTGCAAATCAATTAAGCAATGTTTTTACCCTCTGAAATGAACATTAGTGCCTTAGTTTTCAAAGGTCTAGGCTCCTGGGCTTTATGTTAATAATGTTTACTGAATCATAATACAATTCTGGGATATTTTAGGCCCAACTAAAAGCAAAAATTATCTGTAGGATTATGGGAACTAGAATTGAAACATTCACAAAGCCACATGAAGAGCTTCAGTTAGCAGCAGACCCGATAGGCAGTCCTTTCTTTGTTTCTTGTCTTGATTGAAAATACTTTGTGGAGGGCTTCAGTGTTTGTGCAATCAGAGGAGACTCCTAGCACTAAGCAGAGCCTTCTGTGTAGTACGAGCAGGTGAGAGGCATACCTGAGCTGGCTTTGCAAATGTTATTCCCTCCTGATTCTGCCCTCATATTTTGGGGCTCGGACTGCTGCATCTGAATAGAAATCTGCAGTGATCCTAAGCTGTATCAGATTCTGGTTTTGTGAAGTGGATGGACTTGATGCTCTGAAAGAAAATATGTGTTAAAAATCTGTTCTGTTGCAGCTTCTGTTTGAAATTGAGCCCCTCCAAAACAGTTCTGATTTTACAAGCTTGTGTGGGACCTGGACGAGGAGGGAGCAAAGCAAAATGCTGTTTAGTGTGTTTAATGAAATGGCTGAGAGCATGGCTGAGCAGAAGTAAATGGATGTTGGGGTGTTATTCCCATCCTCATCTTTAGGGACTTTAAGTAAAGTGCCTGACTTAGAAAGGATGTTCCCTGTAATATCAAAAGAAAAAGTCTCCTCCGGAGTGTGAGTCAAAGCGAAAGCCTAACTTAGATGTTCTGGATTCCTTGTGGGTGATCCAGTCTCTGTCCTGGTAAGGAGTGAGGTGTTCTAATCTGAGTGTCTAATTCAGGTTCTTACTGTTGGATAGTAACTCTGTCCCGTTGAACGTGTACATGATTGTACAGCAAATAACAAGGCAATTGTCATTCTTGAGCCCAGACTTCTGAAAAGAACTAAAGAACCAGGTGCATTTCTAAGCCTTTGTTTGGCACAAGGACTAGCTTTATCCTCGGTGCAGGTGTTTTGAAGGGGGCTTGTAGCTCAAAAGATTTAAGAGCAGGATGGGGTTTGCTGTGGGAGGGGAACGCTGAGCCCATGTCTGGGGGAAGCCTGGGAGCTGTGCCGCGTACAGGGAAGATGGTGTTGCCGCAGCTGTAGGCCACGTGCAAGTGTGAGGCTGAAACACTAGTCTAGAGTAGGTCATTTCATAGACGACCTCTGTTCTGGAAGCAGAAAATTGTTGAAAATGTCCAAGTGTGCTAGTGGAGAATTGGGAGACTAGCCCCCTGTTAGAGTCTGCAGTGAGGTAACGTTATGTTTGTACATATGGATCATCCAGCTTTTTAGAGAATAGCTGACCTTTACTTCAATAGCCCGAATACCAAAAGCAACAGGAGGTGATTTGGGCCTTAGCCTCTCTTCAATAAGCCGTGCCTTCGTCATATACAGCCCTGGTTTGACTGAATACACATTTTGTTACTCTGGTAGAAATTTCTAGATAGTGCTGCCATCCCACTGATGCAGACAGTTTAGGAATGCTGTGAGAGTGCCACTGTCATTCCCACTAGTGTCATTAACCAGATCAGGGGCGATTAATGTGCTTTACCTTTGTGACCCGTGACTGTGATATGTGACTTAGTCATTTTAGGTGGCATGTTTTAGGCAGACAACAGTAATACTGACCAAAAAAGTAAGTTCATGTACAGTTCTGCTGCATTAGATACTGTTTATAAACTGCTATTCTAGTGGTACATTAGAAGGCTTTTCTGTCTCTAAGACTAATAAAAAGAAAGTTAAAATGCTTCCGTACAAGTAAAACAGTAACACAGAGCAAGATCTGCATCACATATTTTGCTGTAAAAAACCCTGTTGTGATTATATGGTCAGAATACAAAACCAAATAAAATTATAGCTTCACTTTTCTACTGTCTGGTTTCATCATGTTTCCTAATATTGAGGGGTTCATTCAATGTGCCTGCTGACTCATTCATTTATTAATGGAAAAGTCTCAGCATTTATCCTTCATTAATTTTTGAGAGCATCTCTCATTGATTTGTACTTCAACTACATTAAAATAGGTTGTACTTCAGAGGAATCCTTTGTTTTGTACAGGCTTTGGTGTTTTTAATATTTTAAAATATCTGCTTTTTAAAAAATGTTGTTTCCCTGTCACCAACTGGATACAGTCCATACAGACCTGCTAGCCATACCTCATGTTGCAGGTGTCAGAGGAGGTTAATTAGACAAATAATTTTGACCAAACTTCACTGCAACAGAGTATAGTTTGTTATTAGTGAACTTCTAAAGCTGTCAGTGGCCTGGCAGCTTTTCTGAAACTAGCAATAAAGCTCATTCCTATTAGCTCTTAATCTAAATTTTGCTCCCCTTTTTTTTGCCTTCCTTGTGATGGTTTAATGAAAATTAGAGGCCAGAGGTTGTTAGTGACATCACAGAAATGCTTAGTAGGAAGCAGTATTTGATGGTCTTTTGTCCTAATTGCAAAAAGGTATTTAAGCATGACTTAAACTGAGAAGACAAATATTTTTCTGTTCTGTCTATGAACTCTTAGGCTGCCATAGTACTGTCCAGATTTCTCTTGCTGTAAGTATCATATGTGCTGGCATTTCTTTTCCAGCCTTTGGCTGAAACCCATGGCACTCTCTTACTCCTATGTACAGGCAACTTGTGTCGCTTCTTACGTGTAGAAGCCCTTGATAGAGCCTCATCTAAGCTCTTCGTAGTCTTTTGAGCTTTGTCCACCTGCTTATTATTGGACTGCCTAAAATCGTCTTTGATAGTTTTTGAATTGAATTTTGAATGCATTTTTAGCCTTTGTATTTAATTTATTTAATTCATTGTTTTTACATTACTCTGCTGACTTGCTAATACAGAGATCTGTGTTTTCAGTACTAATCAAATTCTTCTGTACCATTTGTTTAGAAAATCTCATGTATTTGGTTGCCAAATAGTGGTGACAGAAAGCAGAAGGGAGCACAATTCATCATTGAAAAATACTTATTTGCAGTTTATTGTACAGGGAAGGGATGGCCTATATAATAGAACTTCGATACTTTATATTGTATAACTGCCTGACCTTTAGGATACTAATACTTAGAATAATTTCAAGCTCTCAAAATAATTATTCTTTATTGTCTATTGGACAACGGGATTTTGGTTTCTCCTCATCTCCTCTCATTTTGCACGTGGCTTTAGTTAGCAGCTTTCTTCTTAATCCCATAGTAAATATATACATATCCTCGACACGTATGTATGTGTTATTTGTGGTTCTCTCCACCTCACTCAGAAGTGTAAAAATTAGTTTTCTTGGAAGATATTAATTCCAAACTCCATTCAGTTCCTGTCTGAATAAATAACTGTAACAGGCAGATACAGATTTTTTTAAATCTTTTGAATTCCTGGAAGGGCTGCCTTTGAGGTGCAGTGATGCCAGGTTCTTGACTGCATAATTGTTTTTCTGTCTCAGATTTTCTGTCTCAGATGCCCGCAGTAGTGAGATGCATCATCCACAGAGAAATGTAAAACCTTCTTTGATATAACTGTAAAGAGCTTTCATCTCTTTCAAGGGGAACAAAACACACACTAACACTTGTGACAAGATTTCCCTGTTTGAAGTTGATAATACATAAACAGAATTCCTTTTTTTTTTTTTTAATTTTATCCCTTGGTGTCATTGAGAGAAACTAATCCCCGTGATAAGATTGCGGTGTTTTCTGTTGTAAATTGTGCTTTGACCATTGCAATTTATCTTCTGCTTTGCTAGAACTAAACTAACAGAAGTACAATCTTATTTCAGGACAGAATTTATTTGGAAACAGAGTGAAATATTTAAGGATCCAGGCAGTAGGAAAAAAAACCCCTACAGACAGACCTTCAACATATCATCTTCCTTCCTTAGTGTCTTCCTAACCTGTCTAGTTGGTTGTCCTAGTATTGCTGATGTGAACATTGATAAATGTTAAGATTATTTGTGTGCACTTCTTACTGTGTCTAAGGAAGAAAAAATCATACACTTTGTCAAAAAATAAATGGTGTTCTAGAGGTCTGATGAGATTTGGTGGAACTTTACATGAAAATATTTTGGTTTCTTCAGAATTCTTTAATAAATTCATATGCATTAGTGGAAAGGTTAAACTGAATATTTAACTGGGTAAAAACCAGCATTGCTTTAGCTTTGCTTTTAATAGCAACAACCTTCTTGGAAATATTTTTTGTCTTTTCTCATTACTGCATTACAGGCCCAATTTAATTTTCTAATATATGATTGATTCCTTCATTGCATTGGCTTCCTTAAGATGTTGTTTCTAAAAGTAATTGAGTAATAAATTTAATATAAGAAATAATAATTTCAGTTTATGTATTGGCTGCTTAGCCTTAACTATTCTGTTAAAAAGCATTGCATGTTTTCCCAAGCTGCAGAAATTTCATTCTTCTAAAGGTTATGTTGTTAAGCACAAATTACTTATATATGGAAGTGAAAAAGCTATAAAAAAAAGTCTATGGAATCCAATATGACATTTCATAAACATAGAAGTCCTACAGCAAGGCAGTGCGCCTGAAAACTAGAGCTGTCAGCTAGAAAAAATTCTTGGAATACCAAGCCTGAAAAATCTTCTCCATTAAATAAGCCGTCACCTCTGCAAAGTTAATAGACATATATATATATATATAAAATGAAGAACAGTCCCCTGGAGGTGCTGTTTTATTCAGTGTCACTTGCCAGCCATGGTCTTTAAATGGGAACATACCAATTGAAAAGGAAGCCAATGAATTACTGCTGTCTCTTTTAACAGCCAGAGAAAGAGGTTATATGACACGGAAATTAGCTTGAAAATTTGGTGAAGCCAAGGTTTTGTTCTTTAGTAATCAATATAACATTATTAAAAAGAGCCTTTAGTTGGTACACCAAAACAGTACTTGTTGCCCCAAGGTGTGGTGATGAATGAAGTAATACTGAGCGATGGACGCAGAAGTTCGTTTCATGTTTCTGCTGAGGTGAGCGGCTCTGTTGGGTCTCCTCTCTCGGACGCACTCAAGTGCTTGAGTAGTGTTGGTTAATGAGAGTCCTGTGAAATTCCGACACCATCCCTCCCAGTTCACCTCATCCATTAACAAAAAATTCTTCTCTCTTGTAGGACGTATGTGTGAAGGCTTACTTAGCTCTTCGACATCACACAAACCTGCTGATCATCCTGTTCTCCATGATGTTAATGACTGGAATGCCCCAGTTAACCAGCAAAGAGGATATTGAATATATCCGGGATGCACTGACAGTAGGGAAAAGCGAAGAAGATGCCAAAAAGCATTTTCTTGATCAGATAGAGGTTTGCAGAGATAAGGGCTGGACTGTGCAATTTAACTGGTTTTTGCATCTTGTGCTTGGAATCAAACAAGGAGTAGAGAAGCATTCTGCTTAATATTTGATGTAAATTAACTGTGAGTGTGAATAGGAGATTAGTGAATCTACATGTTATTTATGAATTCCAAACGAATGAGCGGTTAAAATTGCCTTTACTTTGCTGGCAGCTTAAATGGATCTTCTAAAAAAAAGCAAGGACTTTTGCTCTGCCCCTCCAGAAGATCTTCCTGCAGTTAAGATTTTTTTTTTTTTTAATGTGTAATGACAATTGAAGTTGCTGGATTCTTTTAGCTAGTTGCTTTGCTGTTGTGGCCTGCATTTTCTTTTTTTCTTTAGTAGTAACTTCAGATAAACATGAAGGAGGAGCTCAAGTAAGATGATAACCTGCAAATTCAAATAGAAATCCCCTATGACATTACCTTAATTGTTCATGAGGGTCAAGCCCTTCAAAAGCAGAAGAATCTGCTTAAAGTCTGTGGTTATCTTGAAATGCCTGTAGGCAATTCACTTCTTTCTCAGGATGGCTTGCACTCAAGTGGTCTTCACTCACATCCTTCTCTTTTGCCCCTTCCTCAGCACTTTGTCCTTTTTGGATTTTTAATACCTTGTCAGTAGAAAACAGCTTTGGCTCTACCACTAGAGGAAATTACCTGACTATTAGTGTAGCCTCCTGACATAGGCAACAGAGCTTGGCTGTCTTGCCAGGAGAACTTCATAGTTACCTGGAAATTCCTCGGGTCTGAACCTGAAATTCTGAAGGTTTCATTTTGAAAGTTTTTTTACTGTACTTTTTTAATGGGAAACATCCATAGTATATTACAGATTATATTCTTACTGTAAAGTTACTAAAATTCCACCTGTATAGTAAAAGCTTTGTAGAAAAAGCAATGGTACTTCCTTATTCTTCAGAGAAAACTCCTTGTGTAAGGGTAATTGTCATTTTACCAAATATTTGAGAAATCCAAAGTTATTTATTCTTTGGTGATATATTTTCAGGATATACCTAGAAGGAATTAAATGTAATCTTTGAAATTGTGTATATTTTGCTATTTAATTTTAAATTCCTTGAGAGACTGTACTACTGAAAAGCTATTTATGAAAGAGAAGAAATCCTTATCTTTAATTTCAATATTTAAAGAGATAAAAATGGGCAGTGTTAAGTAGAATTTTAACTTCTCTACTGTAGGATGCCTGCAAATCGTCAAGTCTGCCTATGGTAGGAAAGGAAAAAAAATATATAGCATGAATAAGTCTTTGACTTGAATTATTATGGTATTCTTCCTACTAATTGATTTTTACCAAAGAGAGAAGATGGCTTACAATATTGCTTTTTTGCACTTGTGCCCGTGTAATTTCTTCTTTCATTGTAGTGTTACATGGGGTTTACATTACATATAAATGATTAACTGAATTTTTTAGTTCTGTTATCATTTGCTTCGATCATTTCACAGAACTGTTAAGATTTTAACTACTGCTACCACTGTTACTACTGAGTGTATTCTTGGAGGATTTTTAATAAATGTACTGTAATTGGTGTCTCAGTTATGAGATATAGCCAATCTATTCGTGAAGTGTCGATGTTGAATTGGTTACTGTGCACAACTATTTTTGATGTATATGGTAGACTCTAGTTAAGGAAATCTAAAACGTTAAAATGTAGAATATTTTGTTGTTCTGTTACATTATTATTCTGTGGAAGATAGGCTTAAGACCATATTAAAATATAAACTAAATGGTGATTATTGTCTGTAAAATGATATTTTTAGATTTGTATTTTATAGATCTGAAATAAATTGACATGTTCTATTCATTTGATTATCATTCATGAATATGCAGCTTAGCCCGAAATACACATAAGTATTTTTTATCCAGTTACTTGAAGACTTTATAGTCTCAGTAAGAGATCATATTCAGAGTCACACTCAGAGGAATTGTTTTAGTTCCGTATTAATAACTCCATATGATGTCAGATATCTTAAATTTTAGTAGCCTATAGTATTAGAATTGCAATTATTATAATTGCGAATAGAATATTACCACTTTCTACGAGCACTTTATTCATTCCTGGTTTGTTCTATAAAGAAAAATTTGAAGATTTTAATAAGTTCCTAGTTTTAAAAAGTAAGTAAATCTACTGCTAAGTTTAAGTCCAGCATGGGGAAATAAATGCTGATCACAGCTTCAAGGGAGACGGCACTCTGGAAGCAGCCTCCATTTGCAAAAAAAGGTCTACGAGAGGTCTGCACCCAGAGGAAAGCAGTTTTGTCCCGCACTGAACTTAGACTGATGATTTTTATCAGCAGTTCACAATGTGCCGGGTGGAATTGTTCACCATGTTTGTTACAGACATCTGAAACACCTCTGTGCTGAGCTAATTATCAGACTTTTTTGTTGCTTTCCTTGCCCGTGAAGCCTGTGGCTGGGCTGGCTGGGCAGTGCTAAGCTGCCTCATGTCTTCCTTTGAACACCCTTTCTGCGTCGGGCGCTGGGCGTTTGCCAGCCTGACTGCTGGGAGATCAAAAGGAGCTGCCAAATCTCCTTTTTACCTACAGAACAAGCTATTAGGCAGCTTACCGGCACTTTGTTTATGAATAGCTGTGCATTCATACAGCTGATTATCTGTCGCCTGTTGTGCGCCTCTGGAAACCTCCGCCCACAGCTGCCTTGATGTGCTGGTGAGTCCTGGCACAGGGAGTAACGGCGCAGATCCGTGGTTTGAGGCAGTCCCACTCCAAGGTGGCGGGAATTGCTTTTCGGGTGAGGAGGGAGGCGGGACTGCACGCCTGCCCCTCCCAGGGCAGAATATGGCCATCGCTTTCTGCAGCGGCGGCTGCGTACCCAGGGCCTTGAAGCTGGAGCTTTAGCACAGCCACCGCTGCCGGAGCAGGAAGCTGAACCACAGTTTCCTGAGTTTGGGCCTGATGTCTTCCAGCGCGTAAACACACCAGCCCTTCAGAGTAGCTGGTTTATAAGGGCTGTAAAACAGGAAACGTAAATTAGTCACTAACCACATTTTTCACAGCTCTAACACAGCATGCGAGAGAGAAAATTACTAAATTTTCTGAGTAGGTCTCATTTATCATCCTTGTCTCCTGTTAGCCTTAAGATTATTTTTTTTTAATTATTTTTAAGGACTACTTTTTCTTTAAGATTTGTTATATTTTCTTGGTAGTCTAAATTCACGTTACTACTGCACCTAACAGTGGAAATCTGAATCTATTCTTAAGAGGCAGTGCCTCAGGCTCAGTTGTGACTTGACATATACTTTGGCTCCAGCAAGATCATCGAGATGTTCGTAAGCAATGAGCGTGTCCTGAAGGCTCCAGCCTTATTATATTCTACAGCAGGAAAAGAAGTTGAAGGGGAGCTAAGGCGTACAGCGTGATTATATTCAGATCTTCACTGAATACACTGGTTGCACTTGTTAGAGGTATTTCATCTACCATTAGCGGAATATTTAGCCTTATTTAACATATACTTAGCAGAACTTCCTCTAAAATGTGAACAGTGATACAGAAATACAGATAAGAACATCTGACTTGAGAAAAATATCAATGGAAATTATAACTCTTTAGAGTTATTTTTCATTCTAAAACTTTACTGTCTACTTAGCAGCATTCTGCAAATCTGCATGAGTAGTCCTGTCACGGGTTGAGGCTGGGCTGGCCACTAATGAATGACAGACACCCTCTATTAACACCTCTCCCCTCCCAGAAGGGAAAGGGAGAGAGAACAAGGGAGAGAGACTTTACGGTTTGGAAAAGAAAACTAAAACAGCTTTAATGAAATAGTAACAATAAAAGAAAAGAATAAGGAAATAATGAAATATATACAATATGTACAAATATATACAAACCCAATACCAAACCCAACTCCCTCACCCTGATGAGATAGGGCTGGCACTGGGGCAGTCTCAGGCTGGACTCGGCAGCAGACAGGGATGGGCTGCAGGAGCTGCACTTGGGCACTGGATTCAGGGATGCACGGATCGGGATCGACGACAGAAGAACAGACAGAGTCCTCCTCGGATGTCGGCCATCGAATAAGACAGACAGACCCTTTTTATACTGAATATCATGTCTATGGGATGGAACACTCTGTTGGTCAGGTTTGGGTCACCTCTCCGGTTCACTCCTCCCTGCAGGTGCGACCTTTCTCGTGCTTGTGACCCTTTTCACTCCCAGCACCCCAACACGGAGTACAGGATTCAGCAGCGACCTTGGTGGCTACAAGAACAAGTATAAGCAAGGGCCTCTCTGCATCCCATTCCTTGGTATGAACTATAAACATCAGGCCTTATGACTGCTGGAAGCAGTCACTGTCTGGAAAAACATGCTGCTGTTTCAGAAAGTGCCGTTAGTTAGAGGAGATTTAACTGAGAAGTTAAAGCACTAAAAGAGAATTAGTTCTGATTTAGCCCAAACCAGGACAAGTCCCAAGGATTACGTAATTACAAACTCTGTGCTGATGACTTTCTAATGCAGTTTGTGTAAAATAGTCTTCAAAATAAGGAATTTTAAAATTAAAATCTGGGATACCAAACCATCTGCAGGATCTGGTGGGCCTTTTGAGTATCCCAGTAGCACTGAAGTATCTGAAGAACACTGCTGTGTTTTCATGAATCTTCTTATTGCAACTTACACAATATATGTTGGAAACACCACTCCAGAAATCACCTGTTCTCCTGGTCAGAAGTCTGCAGGAAGAGGTTCCTGCTATGCTCACCCCACTCCGCATTTTGGAGGCAGAATTGGCCAAAAAAAAGTATTAATATATTTTTAAACTTTGTGGCACGTTTACAGAAAATAAGATTCATGCTGGAGAAAAGAAAGCAGTTTGTCTGCAGTTACACCGTTAATAATGCAGACTAGCCAAAGATACAAACGACATGGTTTAACCATGTGAGGTTCGTACATCATTATGTCATTAGCAAAAAGAGGCATTGGTGACCGGTTCTAGTATGATACAGGGAGACAGTCAGAAGGACGTGGCTTTTCCTGGCTTTTTGAGCATCAGTGGGTCTCACAGGAACAGAGAGGCTGGTGTCCTGCCTGTTGA